CTGAAATTATATTATGTTTCTGTCCATATATGGGGCTCTATTTTGCCTGTTAAAAGCAGATGGAAAACTGTGGTTTGTGTCAAACTAGGAAATGAGAATTATATAAGCTGTAATGGGAGGAGGACACATGGGAGTACAAGGCATTATCCGCTTATTGGGATATACAAAAATATTTTTGAATGGTCAGAAGTGCAGTTGGAAATAGGAAAATTGAAATATGCTCTGGGATGTCATCAGATAAAATCAGTTTTCTATGATTTGAACATAGATGACTGCTGAACTCCATAGTGTTTAGTTCTGGGCTGCATAGGCTTATTAGCTGTCCCTTCCTGGAACTTATGTGTTTTTTTCCCTGCGATATGATCTCTGAAAATGTGAAAAGGAACTATCAGTCAATTAACTGGTTAATTGAGCAAATAATTGGTACATGCAAGAATCTGCATAAATCAACAGAAATAAAGTTGTAATGCTTATTAATATTATGTAATAATTATTCACGCCATTAGAAATATTAAGTCTAAGAATATATTCTGAAGAACATATTGCAGGTAAACCAGAAACAGCTCCTATCTTTCTCATCCTGGAGAGCATTATAATCCAAAACAGCTGGAGAACTGGGAAAGCCTGATTTAAATTATAATATTTAATTTCCCCGGCTTCCTTTCATGAGGGTGCTTGTTTTCAAGGACGTTTTGTAGAATTAAAATAGGCATGTTAATGTTTACATGAGCAGCAAGAGTTCATCCATCCAACCCTCTTTTGAATACTAAATCCAAAGTGCACATACGCTGGAAAAAAACGGTTTAAGGAATGTATGAAAAGTTCAAATGCATAATCTCAGAGGTGCTTGGGAGAAAATATCTGTGCATTATTCTCTGTTCAGTCTTCCCTACTTAGCACTCTACAGATGTGTTAAGACTACAAGTCCTATAATCCTGAACCCCCTCATTATCTGGAGGGGCCTAGACTGAGGAAGTCTGCTTCAAGTTACAAACATTACGCTACACATAACCACACACAACAGTCCCACCCAGGCAAGACGTTTGCTTCAAAAACAAACAAACCAAAAAAACAGATTTAGGAGAGTTCCTTAGTGAAAGAAGAAGTTTTCATTTCTTTCCTCTTCCTTCTTTCTTCTAGTCTACCCTTTTCTTTTCTGCAGTTCCTCCCCCTACAAAGCGTAAGAATATTAAAGTTACGCAAACAAATGTCAGGAACTCAGTGGCAAAGAGAAGCTGCTACCTTGCAACCTTTCTTCATTAACACATATCATTCTATTACCCCCAAACAGCATGTTGCCAAATTTCAGTGGTGGATGGCTGAAAATTGACAACTGCCGCATGAAATCTGTAGTGTAAACCCTAAAGCAGACTTAAAAAGTAAAACATTTTGCAACTAAAAAACATCCCAGTGTTTGGTTTTTTTTAATCCAGAAATCCCCATTAAATCTGCATGCATTTATCATTTTTTATCACTGTGCTGACCGCTAAGGAACTTCCCACCTCCATCCCCAATGTTATTTAAAAGCTCCAGTTGGGTCTACAAATATATATATAAATCTATGCTCCCATCACAAGCTAGACTGATAAACAAGGTTTTCAAGAATTGTGAAGTGCTATCTAGAGAGAAATGTGTATAGAGGAACAAGTTTAAAAGTGTTTAAAAATGTTTACTTCTAGATAAGTAAACATGAGTAACCCAATTCCATTTCTGTAAAAAGATCAAAGTTAGTATCATTAGGATCATTAAACTAGTATTAACAGTTAGATAGAATAAAAGTATTTTCTTATCTTTAATGCATGTTTGGAATGCTAAACATTTTTGGAGGGTAGAACTAAGTTTCTGGAATTTGATGTCAACTAAAGAAGCTTCACATTTGGAATATTCATTCTTTCCCAGGAATGCTATTTTATAACATAATAAAACTAAAACAAATCATATTAGCAACATTGGGAAATATCCAGTATTAAGAACATCTGAAAAAGTGCCCAGAATTTCAGCCATAGATGGATTTTTCTCCTTTCAGTGTTTAGTACCTTTATCCAGATTGGGAAGAAGGTTAAACTAAAATGCATTTCAGAAAATAACACTCTTTAGGTGACTTAAAAATAGAGGAAGGGTGAAACAGGATGTTAGCTAAAAATACATTTTAAAAGAGCTACCAGTCCTCTGGAAAACTGTATTTACGTCTGCCCTATAGGGAAAAGAACACTGGTAGAGAGATTCAGAACTGAGGTATGCAAAAGTAAACGTGATCGTTCACTTGCACCAGACTTTCCAACTGTTTGTGAGGGGTGAGAAATACTACTGGGATGCTGGGAGATTTTTTTTTTGACAGAAGAGTCTTGGTTTGTTAAATGTGCTTCTCTGGCCTTCACCGGCCCACTCCGTGCCATTTAGTAAAACATAGCACAACACAGCAATGTGTATCTAATGCTAACACATAAAGAACAAGCCACTTTAGTGCAATGTAATGCTTTTAAATGTAAACGTGCCTAAAACAGTGTTTGTGCCTGTGGAAGAAACCAAGTATATATTCATCTTCTGCCTAATGGCTATAGACATGTAAAAGGTTGGATTTCAGTGAAGATATTTCAGTCCTCAGCTTAAATATAAATATGTCTCCCTCAAGTGGAGCTTGATTACTTGTAAGTGACATGGTCACATCCATACAGTCTTTCTGGCAACAATATGAAGTTGACTTTCCATTGCTTTCATCCAGGATGTGGTGTTTTTTAAAATTATTATTATTTCCAGGCTGGTCTTTGGCCTAGGTATATCCTGGTGTTCTCTCATGGAAGCGTTAAGCAAATCTGATCTGCACAACCTTTTTCAAAACCAGCCCATCACTCCCACTCTCAGCATGATTAAGCACCCCAGGGAAGGGAAGCAGCAGACTGGGAAGGGTATTCTGGGTGGTCAGAGAAACCCACTGTTTTAAAAATGAATCCCAAGATTCTCAGAAACCCAAGTTTTGCTTCAAGTACAATTGTACATTCCACAATAAAGAACCCAAGAAAAGGGAACTGGAACTGTAGAAGTCCACCTGCGTCAGATAGCAAAGAGTGCCAGCAGCTTCACTGCTACAGGGCGCTCAAACATGACTCCACATTCAGCACAGAAAACTTTCTAAACAATTTCAAATTTGGGTTAGAACAATCTATTCAACCAGGGAACACTCAGCCTAGGTGAAGAAAATGTCAATAATTCCATTTCTCTCTGACCACTATCGTAAGAAAAAAAGATTCCTTTCTCCCCCGCCCCCCCCCTTTTTAAACTATTACATATAACTATTGGGGAAGGTCATCTGTTGGTTCAGGATATGGTATAATTATGCTGATATACCCAGCTGTGCTTTGCTACTCCAGGCTGGACAGGAAATGCAGACAATGTCTTAACCCACTCTCTGGAGGCTATGAGGGCCAGGATGGGATGAAAGAGATTGAACCCAAGCAAGATGAAATTGCTGCTTGTTCATTCAGTGAAGGCCCTTGATACCTCTGATACTGTTCGTACAGCCCTTGAAGGCGCAGGTCTCCGACTTGAGGATTCTCCTGACTAGATGGGCAGATGGAGGCTGTGGTCAGAGGGACTTTGCTCAGCTCCGGCTGGTGCCCCAGGACCTCATGATAGTAACTATGCCTTATCACCACTCTCCTAGACTACTGCAATTATGCTGCACAAGGTGCTGCCTTTGAAGAGTATTTGGAAGCTTCAATTGGTCCAGAATGCAGTAACTCACGGGCATGGGTATGTGACACCTGTGCTTCTAACCCTGCACTGGCTCTCTATTAGCTTCCAAGCCCAATTCAAAATGTTGGTTTTGGTCTTAAAGTCCTCCAAGGAATGCCTACTCCTGCCTGACTCAGATGCCCTGCTTGTCACCCCTCCCCTTTCATGAGGTAAGGGGGTAGATTTTTCTATGGATGCACCTACACTTTGGAGTTGAGCCTCCCTCAAAATTTGATTTGCCCCCACTCTGTTTATTGGTCTATTGGTTTTCTGCAGGCTATCAAAAACAGTTATTTCAGAGAGCTTTACAGGGGATGAGCTGACACTATCAGACTTACTGATTATTATGTGATCGTTTGGTTGTATTTGTTTTTATCTTCCTTTACCATGGCTGGATTTATACTGATGTATGTGAGCCAAAGAGTCGTTTTGATTGCAGTGGACTACAAATCGAATTAATGAATATAACAATTCAGCTTGCTGATGTTAAGAATAGCACAATCTGACATGAACGGATCAAGATATAAGCTCCGGTGAGTTCAATTGCTGGACAACTGCATGTAGAAAAGGGGAAAATACCCAGAATGCATACAAGTAACAAAACAAAGCAAAGAGACCACACATTCGGCCAGATTCCAGTTCTGTATCTACGAACAAATAAATAAATAACACTAGAGGAGCAAAATCTACACACACACATTCTTGGGATATGCGTGCCTCTAACCAAGGAACAGCCTGACCTTATTCATGCAGCTGGTTTCTGATGATGTGGACTTCAACTGGCCAAAAGATTGTAGCAGAAAGGCAGGAAGGATGGGGGGGGGGGGGTGCTTGAATTTAATGTTTGAACTCCCAAGACAGCAAGCCATCTCCACCAAGCCCCATGAGCCTGAAGAACGTAGGTTTCATTTCAGCCTAGAAATGAAGAGGTGACTTTGCCTTCTGGAAAATTTGCGTAAACAAGGTGGCTGCTATCCCGCCTTTCCTTTCCCTTCCCTCCTCTCCTCTCCACACAGAAAAATATTGCGGTACCTTCACCCCCGCGCGTAAACAACCCCAGGGCCCTTCCTGCGAGGTCTGTAAGGTTGCAGCTGTATTCGAGTCAGGCGATTGCCCTTTCTAGCTATGCTATAATCGTAGTAATAGTCGTAATAATACTAATAATGCCGCTACTACTACTGCC